CACCCACCCCCGGCCTCAGCCGCGGAGCCCCGGCCCTAACTCGATTGTGCCTGTTAATCAAGCGAGTGCCTGCGGGTGGGGTAAACAGGCGGCCTCTGAGGTCTGCTCAAACTCCTCAGTCCCTGCCCTGGTCAGGCCTCCTACAGCGTCGGGGCCCGCAGGAGGCGCCAAGGGGGCGGGGGAGGGAGGCCTTAGACCCTGGCAGAAAGGCCGATTACCTCCACAGTCCAGGGATGGGGAGGGAGGCAGGGAAGGCGATGTGGCTATATCTATGTCGACATTGGAGGGACCTTTAGGACAGGGGCAAACGCAGCGATCAGAAGTCGACGTGCCTGTCACCCACTAGCGGTGCGACCCTTGGACAAATTACTGAACCTCCCAGGGCCTCATCTATACAATGAAGATAATAATTCTTCCTACTTCATGGGTTTATAACAAAAATTAAATTCGTTAAGACATAAAACACTGAGAACAGTGTCGACACATAGTTGGGCTATGTGTTTGTTAAGTAAATGGACCGCGGAAGGAAGGGCTGAGGGTGACACTGGCCTAGCGAATTCCCAGGACACCCCCTCTGTGTCCTAAATGACCCAGAGGATTTTCAGCTCGGTGGCTCCAAGCTGGGGGCAAAACCTACAAACCGTGAAGGAGTGAAGAGGGTTGACCCTAACCTCTCTGGGCTTCAGTTTTCTGTCTGTAAAGTGGACATCACAATTATGCCTACATCATGATTAAATGAGAACGTGCACGAAAAGCGCTTATGAATGTTGGATGCGGTAGCCGGGAGGAAGCGCTCAGTGACAGGGACCCTGCTCCTATTCCTACTGGAAGTAAAATCTGCACTTACGTGGGAGAAGTAAGATCTTACCCACCCCCGCCAACAAGGCCTGTACTCAGGGCTTGAAGGAGGAATGTGTACTATTTATTATTATTATTATTATTATTATTATTCTTGACAGAAGTAAATGTCAAAGAAATCACACTGTGAAATGCAGCAGAACAGCTGTCACTAGACTGTGTGCTTCATGCCTTTCCCCCAGTATCAGGGAGGGGTTATAGGGCACTTGTCACCAGGCTCACCCGGCCTCTCGCTACGCCCCTTTGGGCACCGAGCTGAGCTGACCGCTAGGGGGCGCGGCAGGCTGCGCGGAGGGCCTGGGTACCACTGCAGCGACCCCGGACAGCCCCGGGACCACCCAGAGCAGAGGCTGGGAGGTTCGCGACTCCGCAGTCGCGAAGGGTGAGCAGCAGCTCCCCGCTCACCCATGGACTTGCTGAGCCCGGCGGGGGCGAGGGTCTAGCCGAGAGGTGGGTAGGAGAGCGAGGGAGAGAGCTTAGGTTCCAATCACCCGGCGGAGCCCACTCTTCGCCATCGTGGGTTTGGAGCTTCGGTCTCCATCTTGGTAGGGACACGAGGACAAGGCGTACACGCCCACGGGAGTCGGGGGAGGGATATTATGAGGAAAAGAAGCAAATTGAGAGGGGCCGGGGACAGGAAAGGAGATCTCGAAATCGGTTCTGCCTAACCGGGTCACTCCCTGGGCGCGCAGACTCTGCGGTGGAGATGGAGGGTTAGGGAGAAGCCTTGGGAATGCGGCCCTTAGGTGCTCGCTCCCGCCCCAAGTTCCCGCCCGAAGCTTCCCCACGACTTCTTTCCAGCGGTCTCGCGTCGGCACTAGCCCTGGGCCCGGGCGCGTGTGCCATGTGGCGGAAAACTCGGGGGCCTGATGTTCACTGACCAAGCAAAGCAAAGTCGACGCCGTTTCGGGCTGTTTTGGGCCATAGAGATCTGAGTGGGAAGCACTAGTCTCCAGAGCGCGTGGAAAAGCTCCCCTCTCCTCGTCGCGGCCGGACATCCACGGTGCGTCCGACTCCTAGGCGGCCGCCAGCGACCTCAGAGGCGGGACAGGGAACGTTGGGGGGCGCCCTGTGGGAACGCGGCTCCACGTTGCGGCCGGTCCCACTAAGAATCAGACTCTTCCAGGACGCGTCGCCTGTTCCCGGCATTCATCACCCTCGCTCCACCTCCGGCGCCCGGGAGCTCAGCCGCGTCGCCTGAGAGGCTGTAAGGACCCGGGAGCGCTCCGCTCAGGTCCCGGCCCCTTGAGGCGCCACGTTCTGGGCCGCCCCAACGCCCCATGTCTTCGGGAGCTGACCCGGAGGCTCCGGGGCGCGGGAGCGGGACTGCTACCCGGCCCTCCCCCTGGCCCCCGCTCCCAGCGAGAGCCCCGCCGGGGAGGGGAAGCGCCCGGTACGTAGAGGGAGATCGTTTCTACGCGGCCTGGACCTCGGAACCAGACTCGGAAAACCCGATTCCCTGTCTCAAGATGATGCCTTTGTTGGGACCACTTTCGGCCCAGCCTTCCGTCGGTGGGGACCCCGGGGATCCTTACTAGGCCCACTGTATCTGAGGCCCCAACCTGGATTTTTAGCTTCTTTTTTAAATCTGGGGATTTGTCTCTCCCGGAGTCCCCGCCGTCAGGGTGGGGGAGCGAGGCTGAGGGCCTAAAGCAATGGGGGCGTGGGGGCAAGGCGTGGCCCTCAGGACGCCCAGCTGCCTCCCTCGCGGGCTCCGAGTGGAGGTCACCTAGATGACATGACGGGGGGGGGCATGGGGGCGGGGACAGCAACACACGCCCCCTCCCGAGGAGCTGAGGACCAACCTGTTCGGCTTCAGAGGTCTGGCGGGGACAAGAGAATGACCCACTTCGGCCTCCACGCAGGACTGAGAACCTGGCTTGAATCTTCTGACTTGGGTCAAACCGAGGATGAGGGTTTGAATGGCATGAGAGTGCGTTCACTTCCTTCCCCCACCCCCTCGCGACCTTCAGTCAGGATCCCCGCCTTTTAAAAATACTGTGCCACGTGTCTCTGCCGTCCTGGCACTGCAGCCTGCACCCTCTCACCCCGACCCCAGCCCCAGGCCGTCGCAGGGCACACCGACCACACCCTGCGCCAAGCCCGTGAGATGTGCGCCGCCTGTAAATGTACTCATCTGTGAAATGGGAATAATAATCGAACCTCCCTCAGTGAGTTGTGGGAAACAAACCAGTTCATGTGTGTAGAGCGCTTAGCAGCGCCTGGCACACAGTAGGTGCTCAATGCGAGTTAGAAATAACAACAACAATGGCTTTCACTTGTAGCGAACGCCAGTGCCACGCTCAACCTGCAACTAATGGTCAAACAGCGCCGTCAAGGAGGTGTTTCTAACTTCCAGGACGCTGATGAAGAAACTGAGACCTAGAGACTTAGGGGCACTAACTTGCCCAGGGCGGTCTGTCTGGGAAGAGGCTAAACTGGATTCACACCCAGAACAGGGCAGCTTCTCCCTTCATCCACGGTGGAGAGGCTGAGAGGGAAACCCAGCCACGTGAGAGCGACCCCGTGCTCCCTCGGTGGCCTGTAGAAGCGAACCCTCGACCAAGAGATCAAAGATAGCAACCGTCAGGAGCCGGGACCCAGGTGTCCCGAGCCAGCCCGGGTCTCACCCTGCCAGAGAGAAGATAAAACTGGCTGAGGTCAGGCAGCTGCGGGTCGCGCGGGGCCGGGGGGGAGGGTGCCGGACCCCCACGTGCGCCGCCTGCCGCTGCTTTGCGAAGCCCTTTGTCGCGAGCAGCCGCGTTCGTGCCGCACTCGGCAGCTTAAAATAAAGACAATGTTCCCAGCCTCCCTGTGGCTAAATCCGGCGCGGGTGCGGGGGCGGTGAGAGAGCCGGGTGGGAGAGCTTCTCCCGGCCCTGCCTCCCTTCTCCCTTCCTGCCTCAGTTTCCCCATCCGGTCATGGGACCTAGCCATGAAGACCTGGGCAGAGAAGAGTCATACAGAGGGACCGGTGGGGGGGGGGGCGGGCATCCCCCTACCTCCTCGGCTGAACAGACTGAAAGAGGAAACCGCTTGGGACACAGAAGGGCGCTCTAGAGAAGGCAGGGGGAAGCTGGACACCCTCCTCTCCCGCCTACAAAATAAGTGTTTTTATTTCTAAAGGGACGTGTGCAGAGGCGGTGGGAGAGAAAAGGGAGACCAAGGAGATTGGGGGGAGGGGGCAAGGAGAGAGCCTGATTCAGACTCGGAAATGAATGTTGTGCGCGGAGGCCTAACACCCCCACACTCAGCCACGTGTACGCGCACAAGTGCACGCAGCCCCACCGCGCGCACGAGCTGCAGCAGCAAACCAGGACCGCCCAGCAGGGGGCAGCCCGAGTCCGCGCCCATGCGCGGGGACTGGGCAAGTTCTGACCCACCCCTGGTCCCGCTGGCTGACCCCGGGGTGGAAATCGGGTTCGCCGATTCCTCTCCAAGCGGCAGTGTCTCCTCAGCCTCAGAAGGGAGGTGGACTGCGTGCTCGCTCTAGCCTCTGCTGGCTTTGAGAAGCAGAGATGCCCCCACCTGTATCTCGCGCCCACCACTGGCGTCCTATGACTGTTGGCCAAGCCCCGGGGACTCGCTTCTGCTCCACCTGGCTCCACTAGCAACTGGGCTCCAGCATGAGGGAGCCCCAGGTTTCCCTCCGCATTGAGAGGGGTGCTTGGTGAGTCAGGTCCTGACCCCGTGACTCCAGAGCCCTGGGCTTAGAGTTAGCGGACCTGAGTCCAAACACTTGCCCAGCACATATTAGTCACATCTCTGCTCTTCAGTTTTCTCATCCACGAAATGGGGATAATAGATGATCCTGGTCCTTCCTACCTCCCACCCCAGGCCTTCAGCA